TATTATTAGGTACCTAGGTATAATGTTGTGTATAATAAAATTTTTGATATCATAATATGGCTGCATCCGAATTGCATGCCAAAAAAAAAAAAATTTCCGAATTGCATGCCATCTCTTAGAGGGGTCTGTCCGAATAGCATGCCATCTCTTAGAGGAGTCTGTCCGAATTGCATGCCTTGAACCACATGTTGATTTATTATGCTCTTAAACAACTTTTTTTTTGGACTTTCCTAATTATAAAAAAAAGGTGGGCAAGTGGGTGTCGCTCTGCTGTACAGTAGGTTACAAGTGGGTCACTGTGTAATGGATGGTATTACATTTGAATTCAATGATATTATATCATTGTATAAGAAAAACGATTCTGAGCGGAGACGGTATGTCCTTCTAGGTATAAGGCATACCTATTATATACTTATCTATGGTATTAAAAAATTGACCTATATAGCTGATAAATATGTATCAATTCAGCACATCGCTAATAACCACCTATAGTCCATAATCCATATAAATCATATTATATTAAATATTATTAGGTAGGTATCATGTTGTGTATAATAAAGTCTTTGATACTATAATATGACGATTATATCGACTTACAGAAAAAATATATAACAATAAAGAGCCCCTTTTGTGACGATCGACGCCGACACGGTTTTTACCCCAATTACGTTACACGGTCGTCAAATAATAATAATAACATCATCCACACATGGCCTTCTCCACCAGACTTCACAAGGAAAATGGAAACCTCAGTCAACAGAATCCGTATAGGACATACATCACTAACACACCAGTATCTGATGAAGAAGGAAGATCCACCCCTATGTGCCAGCTGCGGTACCCCTCTCTCAATAAAACATATCATAACCGAATGTCTTGCATACGAAACTGAGAGACGGGAAGCAGGCATCTCAAGCATTCTGTCAGAAGCCCTCCACCCAGACAACATAAGACAAATAATAATCTTTATTAATAAGTCCAACCTTATAAATAGTATTTGATATGTAAATTACAATATGTAAATAATTTAGAATTAAACTCATTATTGCCAATGACCATTGTTGCCGAGGCTTAATTTAAATAAAAAAAAAAAAAAAAATAAAGAGCCATTTTTGTGACTATCGACGCCGCCACGTTTATTTACCCCAATTACGTTACACGGTCGTCAAATAATAATAATAATATGACAATAGGTGAAGGACAAAATTCATAACATTTAAAATTTAATAATAATTTTGTAGTTTAAAATTTATAAAATGATCAACTTTTATAGCTAATGATTGAAAATTTAAAACAAGATTCTACGTAAATAGGTTATATTATATAAATTACTCTATTCACCTTAGTATCATCAAATAATATGCTTCGTAATATCTTAGGCTGACTAACCGTTTTCGGTCAGAATCGTTTTTCTTACAAAATGATAATAAATCATTGAATAAAAAAATATAATAGAAAAAATAAATATTTATTATACTTTTTGTAAAGTATTCCAAATACTTAGGAATATTATTATCATAAAGTATTCGAATACATATTATTCTTTTTAAAAGTATTTTACCCAAGTCTGCTTAAAATTCTAAAAATCTAATTTTAATAAATGGACTATTAAATAGAAAAATGGAGGTTAAGATTTAAAAAAAATTATTTTATGTTTATTATTCATTAAAAAACTAAACATTCAAATAAGGATTGAATTTTAATCAGCAAACACCCAAGTACCCAAGTCTAAGATTATAAAAATTTTACATTCCTTCACAGTAGGATAAAAAGGATAGTTCTGGCACCAAATTTACTCGTCATACTCGTCATACTCGTCATCCCCCCGATCCTTGCTCGTCCTAGTCATCACCGCCGCCCGATCGCGCACGTGCGCGACGTATATTTTATCCCACCCCGTCTTTGCTCGTCATCGGATAGCGCATGCGTACAACATAGAGTTATCAGTCTCTTATCTAACAGTCATATGATACCATATTATTGTACATATACAATATTATCGTGCATATTATTGTAATATCTTTTTCCATTAAATAAATATTGAAAAAAAGATTGGCGAGATTCGATCTCTCGACCCCCGAGCTATAGCACCGACGCTTTAACCCACTAGGCCACACACCTGTTATACTAATGTTGTGATTCTTAATGTATATAGCTGTATGAATATTATTGTACACATCTCAATGTAATAACTGGTTGATACATTTATGTATCAACGTCTTATGCTACATGATTGTATTTGTAACACATTTAAGAATAATGTACTTATACAATTACAATCTTCAGGAATATACAGCCAACGACGTGTGTGTTCCGACATACCCTAACAATTCTGGGTAAGTCGACATCTCTTTTAAGGTTTCATCGAGCGTATTGTATTCATGAAATATCTAGAGACCCAGATGTTAGACTAGTCGTGTTTTTAACGTTGATCCGTACATTTGTATTATTTAGTCCTTTTTATTAGTTTTGTTTATTTAAAATTTTTTATATTTTTATATTTTATAAAATAATTATGTGTCGTGTAATTCTCGAAGCCGTCATCTCGCCTAACAGACGAATTTTAGAAAATGCGTAAGTGTTAGTAATTTTTAATTATTTTGCCATATATTTATATATAATATATTTTTTATTCAGGGAGATAATTGAGTCGCCAGTCGTTCGGAGGGCTAACCCTGATACTATAATTTTTTTAAGACGGTTGCTTCATGAATATTCACTGATAAATAATTCAGGTGAGAAGAAGAGGATATGGTCGGCACATGCGAGATCGGTTTCTGAACGGTGTAATGTAGAGTTGAAAGTTGTGTGTATGTTGATGCGTGAACGACATTATGATCGAACGATTCCTGAAGATGAGGTTATAGTAAGTTTAAACATACGAATATTCAAATATTGTAGATAATATGATTAGATTTACTAATATCATATAATTTATTATAGATTCAACTATCGTTTCGTGAGTTATTACTCTCATCTAGTACAATCAGGAGGCATACCCAGTACTACATAATTATGCAGTTACTATATGGACTCAGGCGAATTGCGATTTTCGATTCCGAACGCATTAGGGAAAAATTAGAAATGGATTGGACGTTAAATGTCCTAACCATTCTTACATACTTAGATTTCGACTTCGACACTTCTCGCTTCATTCTTCACAGAATAAGATTATTATAAGAATATTTATTAAAAATTAATTTACTAATAAATAATATTTCTTTATTACCATACATCAGTTTATATTATTTCAGAAAAACTATATGCTCACTATCTGTACTCACATAATATCTATTTTTACCTAGCATAATGTTTCTCGAAATATTTGAAAATATTTGAAAAAACCATAATTCTATCAAAGTAAATGTTTAAATCAAATGTTTCTCTCCCTCCTTCACTATAAAAATGTTTGAAATCGAGGGACGGTCGGTACCTTACTTCATGTGGCTATGAGCGGTCAGTGTGTATCCAGTCTTTAGTCCGGTGTACGCACATTTCGCGTTTACAGTTTTTTTATACGAGATTTTTATTTACCATAGTAGGTAGGTATTAATTATTATTATTATTTTTTTTATTTTTCGTTTGTAGTAATCATTACCGGAAAAAATGTGAGTATTTTGTTTTATGTTATTCATAAGATATTTAAGAATTACATATAATTTATTCGACTTTTAGATGTCTAATAATTCTTCGCCGAGTACTCCGATGTATGAAGGAGATGAGTTCAATCGACGTCTGGGGGGAATACCTATGGAAGGTAGTCAAAATACAGATCACCAGTCTCCAGTTGTCATTGAAGTCAACGTGCATGACATTTTCATGTATGGTGAGATGGTAAGTTTATTATTTTTTAAAATAAAATATAAAATAAATTGTTTATTATTATTTAGACTCAATCCGGAGATAGTGGTTACTCCACTGACCAGAACACGCAGGTGGAAAATCGTGACTGGCATAGAGTATTTTCTCCTTTACTACCCTCTGCAAGTCCATCTCCATCTCGACTATCACAGAGGGAGAATAGGGTACGATCTTTGTCACCGGTTCAACCTGTTTTTCTGGAGGAAGCTTCGCCCGATATGTTCACGCCAACAACTCCGAGGGCCTACGCACTGAGGGTAAGAAACGATCTCTTCCCGGACTTAGTTTCTCAGCCCATGGTACCCCCGGAATATAACTTGTTAATTGTCGGAGAAATTTTGAACACGTCGCGGCATTCTGGAGGGCAATCACCAGAAATGTATTGGAGAGATGACGGAAATGATGAGGAGATGATCTGTCATATGGAAGCATATGAAGAAGATGAAGCGCTGAACCGGTGCATGGATTTATATGAAGGGGGGGAGTAATGACTGAATTATTTATTATTTTCAAAATATATGTATATATTTTTATTTTAAAACCACGCATTCTATAATTCATATTTCCAAACTATATTAATATTTTGTTAGCTGGCTATGTTAGTAGTAATTTTGGAGTAGCAGATGCTTGTATTTCTTGGTATGTTAGCAACTAATTTTATATGGCTTCTTCGAGTAACAGACGAAGAAATATCTAGAGAGTCAATGGGAAGAAAATCTATTGTAAGTATATCGATTCGTATCGTAGGATAGAGTCATTGTTATAGCAGGGTTGAAAATAAACCACTATTGTTGGTGAGCACACACGTAGTTAGCTTTAGTAACATAACAACTATTTTTTCTAAAGAAAATGTTGATCAAAATAATTGAGTACATTACTCGAATCAAGGATTTATCATAGCCAAAGTCTAAATAATATTTTGGTAATACATGGCTTAACATTTTACCACCTCCAAAAATTCCAGACATCAACGCCCGCTCGGTACCCTGATCCGTCAAGCGCTGATGATCGGTCAGTGTGTATCCAGTCTTTTGCCCGGTGAACACATATTTCGTGATTACGACCTTTAGATTTTTATTTTATCAAGTATATTCTTGTTATATTTTTCTCACTTTTTTTCTTTTAACGAATATAATATTATGTTTAACTGTGGTAAGTGTCCTGCGGTATTCAGCCGAAAGTATAATTTGGATAGACACGAGAAAACGCATAATGCAGTCCGCCTCTCTTGTCCATCTTGCATTTTAGCATTTTCCGACAAGTCTAACTTGGCGCGCCATATGAAGATCAAACATGGTATGTACAGAACATTTGATATACCTATTATAATTTTTTTGAAGATAATTTATTTAGTTTCTTTATTAATTTTTTTTCTTAAGGTATTGCTCGTATACCTACAGTACAACATAATGAGGAAGTTGTTCCTCCACTCCACAGTGTATCCGTCATTCAACCAGAACCAATGACCGTCAGTCGAATAATTCCAGACGGATACATAGAGCTTGCTCCGCAAATACTTGTACCAGACACTCCAGCTGGTCCATCTAGCAGTAGTCAAGTCATGCGGGAATCAGCTATTCTCCCAGTACGCGAAAATGAGCAATGGCTTGATGATGAAGCGAGCGACGAAATATGTGTGGAAACGATGAAATATGTTGAGGATGCGGGGCTATGCGATGAGTCAGGTAAGATTTTTTTTAATATTATGAAAGGGTGGTATTAGGTTTTTTTTTTTTTTTTTTTCTGATTTTTAAAAATTATTTTAGATTATTATACTACTACAAATAGGGGAAAGCGTATACACGTAGAAAATACGAAAACCGCGAAAAATTCAAAAAAAATACGAATGCAGGTAGTTCAGGAGGCAGGGTTCGTTGAGATAAGTTCTTCGCATAATAGGATCGTAGTAAATTATTTCGCAAAAAATGTATTAAATATTCGAGATTATATTACTTTTCTCGCATCAATTAAATTAGATTTAAACAAATTATTAAAATCTTTTGTTCTGAAAAGTCCTATTAAATTTAATTTGAAACTGGAGGCTACGTATCACCGAATCAACATTGAAAACTCGTCCGAGAATAGATCGTTTAAGACTTCGGCTAGGGCGATTTTCTTAGATTCGGATTTATGCGAAATAATTGATCAGGAGTACGGAAAACTATTAGAGGAGGAAGAGACATACGTTTCACGTGGAAGTGGGTTTACATTACAAAAAATAGATGGCATCATACTAACTGTTTATAGGTATACACCTATGCTTGGTGCAGGTTATTCTAATCGTCCTGGGTGTATACAAAACAGCGATAATGAAAATAACGATAGAGGTGTGGGTGACGAAAATAACGGTAGAGGTGCGGGTGACGAAAATAATGGTAGAGGAGTAGGTGACGAGAATAATGATAGTGAAGGGGGTGACGAAAATATTGAAAGCGAAGAGGGGGAGGGAGATCAGGTTATGGAGAGAAATGGTGTTACTTATATTTCTTTACCAGGTGAAATTCAGAGAAAACGGGGGACGATAAATCCACAGAATAAAGATCGACACTGTTTCAAATGGAGTGTTCTGGCAAAACATGTCACTGGTAGAAACAGGTGTCGTATCGGAAATAATTACCACCAACATTCTGAAAAATATGACTTCTCAGGTTTATCGTTCCCTACGCCGTTGAGCGAAGTTAAAATTTTTGAACGGAAGAATCCTTCTGTTAGTATTAATGTTTATGGACTGGAGCAAAAATTAAACCCCCTATTAAAAACTAAGTCGTATATTGTTTTTCCGCTGAAAGTCGTCGACAAGGAGAAAGAAGAACATATTGATTTACTCTACATTACGAAGGAGGAAAAAATGCATTATATTTATATAAGCAATTTTTCTAGGCTTATTCGTTCTCAATCGACGGGGCATGTAGCGAGTCGCGTGTTTTGTAAGCGATGTTTTACTTCTTTTGACAATAGAGAGCTTAAACATAGAAAAAATGGTCAAGCGGGGCTTGACGAGCATATGATAATTTGTGGGTCCCATAACGCGATTTTACCTGTAATGCCTAAACCCGAAGATCAAATCAAATTCAAGTCATGGGAAAATACGGTTCGACATCCTATTGTAATATATGCTGACTTCGAAGCGCTGTTAGTGAAGACCGATGAGAGTAGGGGGAATAATACAACAGTCATGCATAGACATAAAGCTATGAGCTACGGATTCTTGATTAAGGCGGCTGATAACGTATCAAAAGAACTGTTAGATAAATATATGATTCCGACAACACCGGTTATTTACCGAGGAAATGTAGACTGTGAGGAGGTAGCCAAACATTTTGTAGACGCAATCGTAGATGTAGGTAGGCGGATAGAAAAGTTACTGAAAACTAATATAACATTAATTATGAGCGATGAAGAAGAAAAAACACACCAAGAGTGTAAAATATGTAATTTATGTAAACGTACAGTATTCAGAGGTGAAAAAGTTAGAGACCACGACCATCTAACAGGTAAATTTAGACAGACTCTTTGTTCTAAATGCAATCTTATATTACAACAGCCGAAATTTGTACCGTGTTACTTACACAATTTAAGTAACTATGACTCTAATTTTATCATTTCTGAACTAGCTTACGATACCAAGTCTATTAATGTCATCCCGAATACTGAAGAGAAATTTATTTCTTTTTCAAAATATTTAAGTAGTACTTTCACTATACGGTTTATTGATACGATGAGGTTTATGGCGTCGAGCTTGGAAAGTCTTGCTGAAAATCTTATAACCCCAGGCCTTGACAAATTCCGCGAGACAGGCAAACATTTTGCTGCCGGAGATATGTCACTCGTTACTCGTAAGGGGGTATATCCTTACGAGTATACGGATAGTTGGGGGAAATTAGATGAGGAGAGTTTACCAGGGAAAGACGAATTTTATAGTACACTTAAAGAAAAAGCGATTAAAGACGAGGAGTATGATCACGCTGTGGTGGTTTGGGAGCACTTTGCGTGTAAAACATTAGGAGAATATTCTGATTTATACTTAAAAATTGACGTGCTTTTGCTTGCTGACATATTTGAAAACTTTCGAGATGTATGTATGAAAGCTTATGCCATCGATCCTGCTTTTTATTATACTGCTCCAGGAATGTCTTTTCATTGTATGTTGAAAAAGACAAAAATTAGATTACAGCTTTTATCAGATTACGAGATGTTGTTAATGTTCGAAAAAGGTAAGAAAAAAAGTTTTTAAGTTTAAAAAGTTTAAAAGATTTTTTATTATTATTTTTATTTTATAGGTATTCGTGGAGGACTGGTGCAGGCGAGCAAGCGGTATGCGACCGCAAACCATGAGAAAGTTCCAGATTATGATGCTGAGAAAGAAAAATCGTGGTTGGTGTATCAGGATTGTAAGAATAAATATAATTTAAAAAAAAATATTTTCCTACCTTATTAATATAAAATATTCATAGGTAATAATCTCTATGGTTACGCGATGAGTCAATACATGCCCACTGACGGATTTAAATGGGTTAAACCTACGCTTGCAGGATTAAATGATTTAGACGACACTTCACCTATAGGACGTATTTATGAGGTGGATATATCATATCCTAAAGAAGTGCACGATCGGCATAACGACTTTCCGTTTCTCCCTCAAAACGCTACCCCCCTCGGCTCAAAGGTTCCAAAACTGATGGCAACCCTAGAGTCAAAAAAAAACTACATTGTTCATTACAGAAACCTTCAGCAGGCTATTAAAAACGGATTAATAGTCGAAAAAGTAAAACTATTTATATTTTTAATGTATTTCATATTATTATTATTATTATTATTATTATTATTATTATTATTATTATTACTATAGGTGCATAGAGTTATTCAATTCAATCAGTCAGGGTGGTTAGCTGAATATATATTATTGAATACGAATTTGAGGAAGAACTCGAAAAATGATTTTGAGAGTCAATTTTTTAAGCTCATGATTAACGCTGTATTTGGTATGTTACTTTTAACTTTTGATCTTTTGTTTTGAACTTTTAAAAACTTAATTTATTACTTTACAGGGAAAACCCTTGAATCGATGAGGCATAGATTAAAAATGGAAATCGTAGTGAGTGACAGGCGATTACAAAAACTTATAAACAAATCAACGTTCAAACATTGTACTTCGTACAAGGAAAATCTTTCGGCTGTTTCGTTAGAAAATAAGATCATTGAATTCTGTAAACCCATATATATAGGTAAATATTTTTTATATTGAATTTCACTATGACAAATATAATAATTTTTATAAAATAAAGGTTTTGCGGTCCTTGATGTTTCAAAAAGTTTGATGTATGACTATCACTATGAGGTAATGCAGAAACATTACGGAGACAAAATCGACCTCATGTATACTGACACTGGTAATATATATATATTTATATGTAACTATGTATATTATAAAACTACTTTCATACATATTATTTTTATTTTAGATTCACTGGTGTACCATATATTCACCGATGATTTTTACGAGGACCTATTAAACTACCCTATTTTACTTAACCGGTTGGATACTGCAAACCTTCCACAGGATCATCCCTGTTATATCGCCGAACGTCGTAAGGTTCCGGGGTACTTTTCCGATGAAACGAACGGGTTGATAATGACAGCTTTCTGCGCACTCCGTGCTAAATCTTATGCATATAAAATCGAGGGGAGAGGAGCCATTCAACCTAAAGAGGAGATTAGGGCAAAGGGTATAAGACGTCATGTGGTTGATAACCACATGACGTTCGAAGACCATCGGAGGTGTCTGTTTGGTGAACCCGGATTAGAAGTTTATAAACATAATATTTCAATTAGGTCATTCAATCACCAGCTAATGACACTCAATACAAAAAAATTGTCCTACAATAATTATGATGATAAGAGAGTCATTCTAGATGACAAAATACATACCTTAGCTCATGGACATTATCGTATAGAGTAAGATAAATGAATAAAGATATATTTTATTGAATTTTACTTACATTAATTTTTTATTTTATAGGGAAGCTAAAGAACTTGAGCGGGAACTTGAGAGGGTGGAAGCAGAGATGGTAGCAATGATGGAGGGAATAGGATATTAAGTTTTTTGAAAATAGTTGATTATATTATAAGTAACATGAATACATTATATTTAATTTTAAAATCTGAAAATATCATGTAAAATCATGTAACATTTTCTGAAAATATTATGTTTATGTATATTATTGGTTTCTATATTTTAGTTATTATTTTTGTCTGTATGTTTATTAAATTATTATATAACTAAATAACCTATGAATAACCTGAAAAATGTTTTATATCTGTAAATACTTTGTAAATATCATGTAACATTAATACTTAATATCTGTAAATGCTTTGTAAATATCATGTGTCATTTTCTGTAAATATTATGTTTATGTATATTATTGGTTTCTATATTTAGTTATTATTTTTGTCTGTATGTTTATTAAATTATTATATAACTAAATAACCTATGAATAACCTGAAAAATGTTCTATATCTGTAAATAATTTGTAAATATCATGTAAATATTATGTTTATATACTTTTTTTTTTTTTATTTTATGGTTAGACTTAATAATATATTTAATCATGTTTTTCTGTTTCAGATCGAGGGAAGACTATATTAGTATATATTTAATTAAAAAACCTTGTAAATGTTAACATATATATAAATGTATGTATATATGTTAACATATAAATAAAAAAAAAACAATGTTAAAATATAATATTATTATTTATTATGTTTATTAAATAAAATGTATACATTAACAATTTTTAAGAATTATTTACAAACCATTTTCTAATAGCAAATACTTTATAGAATGTACATTGTTTTGGATTAAATTCCATATGAAAAATACAGCAGGGGTGAATTTCTCCATCACATATTTCATCCAAACGTGGACATCCAAGGTCTTCGATGTTGATTAGTGTGACTTGAGGTATAAATTCTGTAAGCAGCTGTTTTTTCTGTTCACCTTTGACGTAAATGCAAGAGAACTTTAAAGAGTTCAATATTCTACTTAGTTCTTCATATTCAGTATCACCATATTCTACAGTTAGTTTATGATAGTTAAGTTCTAGCCACTTATTAGTTTTACGAGATTTATTGTCCTGCTGAGATTTTGAATTTTTAAAAATCCAGTGCTGGCTCGCAAATGATTCTGTGTCAACTATAGATAATTCTTTAATAAAATATTTATTGTTTGCTCCAAGAACGCACTGCATGTCTGCGATACCCGACGACATAATTACAGGTATATTTAATTTTTAACACTGACAGAGGATAACCAAACGCGATGGTGTATACAGCTCGACTGAAATTATTTTTCAATACCGCATGACTCTACCCAACTATTTTATTTTGTGTAAAATCAAGTTTTCGTAATATTTTTGCCTTCCAGGATTATCAAACGTGAATTTAATTCTGAGATATATGTTCCGTGATTCGGCAATGAATTTTCATCAAATATTCCGGTTATACGATTTATTTCAGCTTTTAATTGGGCCACGTCAAGTCTATAGATAGCGATCGCTGTACTGTTGTCAGCACAGTCATTAAATAGCTTCGACATACGATTTTCACAATTTAATAAAGACTTATTACTTGATTGAATATTATTTTCAAGCAATTGTATTTTTACATGAATATTAACAATATTATTTTTCAAAGTTTCAATTTCTTTCTGTTGGAGTTTCACGTCATTTAGTATCGTTTTGTTACTTGATTGAATATCTGATATAATTCTTTTAGCATCGCTCGCCTGAGAACTACCGAACACGTTCATAGTTATAAAACGACTGACACTATTTTTTAACATCACGTGTATTTATCCAACTATTGTGTGTATTATCGAATCCTAACCACTTGACGTACATTTGATTCTGTTTTTTACGTATAATTTTTTCAATTAAATATTCGTTTGGGAAATTGGTCTTGTATATTTCTTCAGAGTAAAAACAACCAGCTATAGGTTTACCCATATAATCTTGTAGTTGATAAGTAACGGGTAATGTTTTATTTATTTTGATAATCTCAAATATTTCCGTAGACCAGTTTGGTAAATAACCTTTTGTGAACACGCCCTTTTGTGTACTGATACGAACGTTATCACCAACTTTAAACTTAATTTTTACAGTATTTATTTCACGATGTTTTATTACCACCGAAGCGGGGTCGGAATCTGCTTGTATTGGTGTCATTCCTATAGTTCTATGGTATGAATTATTGTATTCGTCAAGTAACTTTGGTAAAATTGAAACCCATTCGTGAGAGCCACGGGCAGTGAACTCCTTATACATTTTTCCCTTCAAAGTACGATTGAACCTCTCTGCTATGCTGGCCTTTAGAATACTGAAAGTTGAATATTTGTGTATGCCATACTTGGTCATCAAAGCGTCGAAAGTAGTGTTGTAAAATTCTTTTCCGTTATCGAGTTGTAAAAGTTTCGGTGAACGATCAAGTAATATTGTAGACATTGCACTAGTAACTTCTTTACCTGTCTTAGACTTTAACGGTTTTGCCCAAGAAAATTTTGTAAAACAATCAATCACAACCAGGATGTATTTGTAACCACAATTTACTTTTGAATATGGTATCATTTCAACCAAGTCGGCTTGCCATAAATCATTTTTTCCATAGACGATAACTCGACGTCTAGTGAAATTTTTCCTTGCTGGTTTGTGAAGTTCGTTAGCGATTTCCCGTTTAGACATCGGGAATTCGCTTTATTAGTCCGGCCTCGTGTAATTCGTCGAAAATCGAAATTATTTCGTTTGAAACGCTTGTATTGCCAGCTGCTTTTGACGCGAGAAGCAGACGTAATCGATCGACCAACTCGTTTGGATTATCCCAATACACTAAGTTATTTTTCTGTAATTTCATAGACAGCTCGCCACCCGAGGGGAATAATTTACTAATAATTGATGAATATTTAGTGCCACCCTTTTTTATTTTATTTCCAACTGTAGATAAATGTACCGATGTTTGAGTTAATATAGATTTATATACCTCTAAATCGCTATCAGTAAAAATAAGTGGATTTTTTAAAAATAATAACTGATTAAGACCCGATGATGATGGGTAAACAGTACCGTCAATAAGTATAGCGTTTTCTATAAATTTTACTTCTTTTTTACCCAAGATAATATGGCCGTTTGGAAGTTTTTTCGGTCCATAGATTTTATCCAAGTCTGTAGACTGAAACCAATTTTCAATTTCTTGTTGATTGTAGGCCAAAATCGAGGATTTATTGATAATATTTTCTTTGTTCAATCGAGGTTTATTCGATATTTTAGTTAAAGGATCGATAATTGGTTTTAATGTCTGTGTCATTAATTGTTGAACATTATCCGATCCGGTTTTTAATGCGATATATTTACGTTTAATACTTTCCTTAGCCTTAACTAGCTCATCTAACACAGTAGTTGCTTCCGTCATGACTACGTTTTAAATGATAATATTTATTATTTGTTTCATCTTATATAACTACATAAGTATCGAATCCAAAACGATAACGTCCGTTATCACGATCGCTATCTTTACAAATAACAACAAATGTAAACCTCTCACGGTTCCAACATGTCACACAGAAATGTTTAAATTGTGTATATGACATGTCCCCAGAACAGTGTTCATTGTATACATGTCTTAAATTTGTTTCGTCCTGTTTGAATAATACTATTAAATTTGCATTATCTCGTATCAACTGTTTAGGAACTTTTGAGTAACTCTGGGCCAGATAAAAAATATCTATTTTATTGTGACGACCTCGAGAAAAATATTCTCTTATTACGTGTTGCTGTTCACCGATAACATCGTCCATGATAAAAATTGAATTTGGTAAAACTTTCTCGGGTGAAATTACTTTATCATTCTCAAAAAAAGTAAAAATGTTAATACCATCTATTCCATCGATAATACGTTTTAATAATTTATATTTTGGTTGTTCCAACGTTTTGGAGTATATGTAAACGTTTTCAAATCGTAACCCGTTTTCATCAACTAGTAGAAAATATATCAGATTGGTTTTACCACACCCCGAGCTCCCAAGTACCAACGACCTTATTGTATTTGGAAAAAGCTCTCCATGTCTCTGTTGAATTGTCTCGGGAGAATCAATATTATAAATTCGGAGTTTTTTCTCTTGTTCGATAAAGCGCATTTTTTTTTTTTTTTTAATTTTTCACTATAAATATAGGTGCTATGTTAGCGATAGCGTCACACGATGTCTCACGTTCGTAAGCGAAACAACAATAAAGGCTCCGGTCTTATTAACTCTGTTATAAATCATTTACCCGTGGAATTACATTTACCTGGTTATAGGTAAGTCTCTACAATATATTATGACTAATAAATCCGTTTTTAAATTTTATGAATAATTGTTTATAGATTTGCCGGTCCCGGAACCAAATTGAAACAAAGATTAGCACGAGGAGAACGTGGTATAAACAGACTTGACGAGTTGGCCAGAGCGCATGATATCGCATACGAAGAAAGTAATTCGCTAACTGATCGGCATAGAGCAGACGAAGTATTAGAAAATCAGGCTTGGGAAGTTTTTAAATCTAAAAACACAGGTATCAAGGAAAAAGCGGCGTCTTGGCTAGTTACTACAGCCATGAAGGTCAAACGTAAGATTGGAGCTGGTTGCGGATTTAAACAAATGGTTTTGGCTGCTAAAAATTCCATCAAAAATAAAATGAACGAAAATAATATTACAAAATTAGTAAGAACATGTCTGTCAGCTGCGAAAAAAATTAAAAAGAATAAAAATAAGAAAACTAAAACACCAAGAATTATACCAATACCGAAAAAAGGTGGTGTTCTACCTTTAATTCCTATTTTTGCTGGTTTATCAGCATTAGGCGCGCTTACCGGTGGAGTAGGTAATATAGTAAAAGTCGTGAAAGAATTAAATTCTGGAAAAAGCTCTCCTATTCATTTAGGCAAAGGATTATATCTTACTCCTCACAAGGGTAGTTCTTATAAAATCGTAAAAGGTAAAGGTTTATACCTAGCACCGCACAAGGGCGGTTCGGTTAAGAAATCAAGGTCAAAAAACTGATTTCTACGTTAC